AAAGATCCTTCAAAGAGGGTTGAGATGAGGCCAAGTATGCTTATGAAAGATGTAGGTGAGCGAGGGAGAAATATTGGATGACACACGCAGCTAATCACAAACATGACAAAGACCATAGACTCATTATCAACCAAACATCCTAATCTCGGCTCCCAGTTCCTCGCACATCCTGTACTTCGTAGTTGTATAAATGAAAATCTTTAAGAGTTTCTCGAAAAGTATTACGATCTAAGGAAAATATAAACTAGAAGATTCAACAAAGGCAACTTCAACCAAAGTCTCGCAGCGTCGAAACCCGTGCAAGCAAATTAATATTCACCGAAAACCGTGCCGAGGTATTCTTAATCAGGCCGCTAATAACCCGATTCGACTGGTTGACGCGGGCAGAAATAGCTAATTAAAAAAGAAAAAAAAAAAACATTGTTATTAATTTCCCCGGGCGCCGTGTCGCTCGTCGAGGGGGTCTGGCCGACGAAAAACGAAGCCAGACGCTCCGGAGCTTTGTCGGCCGAGAGGCGGTCTCGAAACGGCGATATGTTCGAAGCTAATTATCGCTGGCTAATTAACGCGAGCCTCGGAAGCCTGGGTTGGCTCGCTTGCGCGTGTGGTCGTCGTTCGTTATCCTCGGCGAGCAATCAAAAATTTAGGCCAACGTTGCTCACGGAGAGGCGATCGCCAGTCGTATTGATGTAAATTGCAGCTACCGATGGTCGTTACCGCGGCTATATATAACGCGTTCTTTTTTTTCCACGTTCCTTGTTGTCTCGTTTTTGTTTTCTTCCACCCACCCCATTTTTTCTTTCTTTCTTTCTTTTTTTTTTTTTTTTTTTTGTTGCTCGCGTCGCTCCCGCAATATTGCGTCGCGAGATTTATAGAGGACCGCGAGCGAGCGAGATGAACGGAGATGAGGAGGGGCACGGAGCGAGACAGAAGGGAGGGAATCGAGTGCGAATCCACGGGGTTCCTGTGCTCGTGCATTACGGCCCGTCGAGGATATCGATATGACAAATAAACGTAGAAAATCTCTCGTTTCAAAGCTTTCGTTCCCGCTATCGGGTTTAACTAGCGCGCCATCGCTCGGCCACGCCAAATCCGAGCCAGGAGGACTCGCGAGGATTTCGCGTTCGATTACTCGGAAGCGATACGTTCTATGCGCGCGGCCGGAGATACACGACACAACGACGGTGGACTTTGCATGGACGACCATTGGGAGAACGAACAAAGACATCCAAGCGGAAGTTCCTCGTCTAAATTCGAGTACAAGTCCCCTGGTTTACTGTCGATTCTCATTCCAAAGTAATACTTTGCAAATTAACCCTTCTAGTGCCAGAGAACGTTTTCATACATATCCGAGAAACACCAGACAATTTTATTTTAAGGTTCATGACATTTTTACACGATATTAAACACCTCACCTAAACACATTTCCGAGGGGTTTCGCGACTTCTCCGACGCCTCGAAGAATTTTTCCATCGGTAATTAACGCGAGCGCAACCCCCCTTCCCCTGCCCGATCGATTCTCCACAGATAGAAGTAAGCGATCGCGATCAATTACTATGCACGCTAACTGCGCAACCGATTTGAGGTTTCATTAACTCGAGCAAATTCGGCGGGCGTATTAAGCGTGCCTGTACGCACACACCGAGTGCTTACCGCCGTTTCTGCCGGTTCTCCATTATTCGGGAGTGCTTCCAGCGGTAATTCGTGTCTGGAGAGAACGTTCGGCTGCAATTATAAACGCATCGGGCCAGATCGAATTCGAATATGTCCGGCATCCCGTAGGCCTAAGCGGCGTACGCACACTGGAACCCTCTAAACGAGCTTCATCCTCGTGGAATACCAACAAATTATCCGCCCCACGACGTTTTCCGTGGAAATTCAGCGAGAATTTGGCGCTGGCTAATCGCCGAGTTTCGCTCTACAACAACACGTTTCGAGTCTATTAATCGTGGATGCGTTGAGAGACCAAATTACATTTTTCGAGGAGATACAATTGAGCCGTTCGCTGAACGAATCAATTAGCTTCACGGTTCACATAAAAATTGTACATTATTTCATCGCATCTCTCAACTTTTTGTTTTATGTCAACCTATGTTTATGTAATCGATTTGTGCAACGAACGGCCCGATTAACTCGCGTCTACGATTTTATTTTGAGGAAACTATCGGATGTGAGATTTTCTAATATTTTAGGGTGCTTGTAATAGAGTTCGAACGTGTCGAACAAATTTTTTCAAATCACCACCTTGTGTATTTATGTAATTCCGACGCGACTCGTCGAGGGAAAATGCGTTCGAATATTGCGGACTTCCTCGAAACGGCCAAATATTCTAACCGTTCCGTCGAGCGATCGAAATAATTCACCGTGCACTAGACCCCGAGCTTTTAGCCGGAAAACCTCGAATCGAACGCGCCGCCCCCGCCCATGAAATTGTTGCGATGCCGTTCGATGAACGGCGAACACTACTGGAATACCTGGCTGATTGACTTCCGTTTCGACTTTCCTATTCCGTTGTAAACGAAGGAGTCGTTTACAATGAGCATCGTTTAGATCGGTCGTCGATGCGACGTTACTTATTTCGCGAAATTCAATTAACGAATTCGGAATTGTTTTTTTTTATTTGTACTGCATTTGTCTGCTCTCCCAAATAAAGTAATAATAATAAAGCTGATCCTCTGTTATAATTTTTAATTTATAAACCGATCTCGACACTCTTTAAGTGCCGTTTATTTTTATTTTTCATTCCGTCGCGTAACGATTCCCGTGATTGCGTCGCTGGGCGTTCGCGCTCCTCCTATTATTACCACTGCATCGCTTTCGCGGGCAATCGGTGCGATCCCGAGCAAATAAATAAATAACCAGATTACAGGTTTCCGTACCAGGGCTCGCCTCCCCGCCGTTAAAAATAATCAACAGGAAAGTGGACGAGAAAGAAGAGACCCAAGTGAAAGAGGAGCGAAAGATCCGTCCCAGAAAACAATGGACGAGATTCCCGCGGAGTACCTTTGTTCCCGCGAATACAGAATTTCCCGTCAACGCGTCTTTTCCCCCGAGCGTCCAGGCTGTTCCAGCCTGGAAAATTTAATTTCGAATATTACTACCCTTCCCGCTGAAAAAATATGACGCAGCAGCGGATGGAGCGGCGAGAAAAAGTGGCTCGCAATTTTCCATACTCGAAATACCGAAGACGCGAGCACGAGCACCCTTCGCTTTAAAAAAAAAAAAAAAAGACCCGAGCCCTTTTCAACGACCAGTCGTAGATCTTTCGATACGACGCGACACCCGCTCCTGATCGCAGACCATCAGTTTTTTATGCGCGGCTCTCTACATATTAAGTGCGTATTTATCCGTAATCGCGGGGGTGGCGCATGCTTGACTGATTCCCGCCATTTTTCTCGTCCTTTGGGACGCGAGCCGAACGAATCGCGACGAATCACTGGGACCTGAAGTTCCGTGGTTAATCAAACTAACGATACAGTCTAGGATAGCGGTGGTTACAACTTCGACAATTGTGAATTTCGAGTCTCCAGTATTAAAACCGAAAGCGATCCTAGGACGTATTTATCGGAAATAATTAGCTGACACAGTCGAACGAAAGAAAGCATCAAGACGCGAGGGACGCAAAACTTTACTTTCCTTATTACTTTCCTCGTCGACGTTAGTCACGTTGAAAAATCGCGACGCGAGTAACGAGCGGCCGTAGAATTTCGTTCGAACCCGCCCCTTCTCGAGGTCTTCTCGGCCAGGAACTTTTCATTCGTTAGCCTCGACGAGGGGGTGAAAAAGATTTGTTCGAGGAGATCGGGATGCAGCAGTTGCGATGGTTCCACGGTGAAACGCGATCCGGGGTGCTGGGAAAACATAGTGGCGATCGTACGTTACTCCTCGTGGGGGTAAACGGCTCCTAATCGGCGAATTCTCCCGCAAAAACTACCCCCACGATTGTCCGGCTCAACGTCGGGCTCGAGGATCGACGTTCCTCGGCCAAAAGAAAACAAACTTAACGTTGCTTCCACCCACGGACCTCTGTCTCCACCCTGGTTGCTCCCATCGTCAATCTCATTTACCCCAACCCCTTCGAATCAGGGGGATCGCTCGGGCGGATTAAATCCTTTGAACTTTATTGGCCATCGTGCAATGACGTTCCGTTAATTACGCTTCGAATTCGACCGGTCTTTCGTCGAACCATTCGATGGTCCCTCGTGTCACGGGACAAGGGACACTTTGTCGAACCCACCCTTCACTACCCCATCTCATCGTTCCTTTTTGCGGCAGGACTAACGGTACTTACGACTCGTCAAAGCGTCTTGCAATTGAGATAAAAACGATCGCCGCGCTTTACGCTGTTCGAATTCGGAGAAAGAATAATGAAATATGCCAGGAGTATCTAAGGAACGTTTGGAAAATCGACGTCGAACCGATTCATCTCTACTGATAAAAATTCCGCGTCCTTTCGTGATCCGCGATAATTTCAAAGGTGACTCGATTTTACCGATGAGCCGCGTTTTATCGCCGTTTCATCGATCTAGAACATGAAAGGGGCAGACGGTCGAGCACGCTAAAATTGATTCGCCAAACATGGGTTACATCGATTTAACAAACCGATTGATTCGTGACTAATTAATGCACCGGAGCCCGACGACTCGTGCTTCCGCTTTGCTCGGTCTCGCGCAAAGGTGGCGCGATTTACGAGGCAACTTTATAAATGTTCCGAGTTGGGGATGTTCGGGTGAAAACTTTGCGCAGATGGCATGCCACGTGAATAGACATGGACCTCGTGAATATTAATACTGGTGTATGAATGAACCTACTTGGCTAACCATCTGTGAAATAGGTTAATTTATTTTTGGGCGTATGCGCGTGGGTGTAAGTATGAAAATAAAATGCTACAGTCGTCAAAGTAGATGTTTCATATAGCAACTTAAAATATATTCAGTGGGAGCAACGTGACGATTACGATTTTTGCTCCAAGGTATTGCTTTCTACCTCGACTTATTCCGCAAAATTAGTATTCTTCTGTAAATATTGTTCACCGAGTACAGTGGCGATTCTCAAGACACGAAACGGTAGTCCAGCAGGTTTATTTCAGTCACGTCGCGGCACAATCAAATGTGTGGGTTGCGAGGAGGCCACCGATACAAAAACTGCGACCCACTCCCCGACTGGCGATCCGTCGTGCCCGCGGCAAATAGGAAAACCATCGTGGCCGCGGGAAACTTTTCAGCCGTAAGGGAGAAACCATTGGAGGACGGACAGAGAGAAAAATGAACGACGAAGGGGGTAGCGAACGGTCTTTAGAAGTGCGAAAAATCCTGAAGCACGATCGCCGTTCTTTCAGCGGGCACCCCTTAATCTGGATCGGGCGGGGCCGAAGAGACTCGACTTTGTACGCGAAAAGAAACTTTCGTAATATTCTACTACGTTTTCCCATTTGCTCGTGCCGTCGCCCTTCGGCAGTACTTTCCGCGATCGAGATTTTCATTTCTCAACTTTCTGTCGGCCCTAATTTTACCCTGCGCCCCAAACGAACCCGACGGTCTTGACGTTCCTTGTCCCTCGATGGTTTACATCTACGAGGAACTCCTCTGGCCTGGAACAAAACAAAAATCGATTTGTTAGAAGCAGCACCTTCAAGCTTGCATTGAAGGCTTTGTACAATTTTTATAGAATTTATCAAGTTATAGATCGAAGCTTTGATTTCTATGTCTAGGCGCCGAGGAATCATTGCATTCGCACTTGTAACAATTCTGAAACCCCTTTAAAAGTGTTCCAAATATATACACAAAGTTTCTACTCATAAATCCATTTTTGTATGAAACGTAAAAGCAGTCAATTAATAAATAAAACTCCTCGCAGGACTTCCGCACTGACCGCTCTTAATCGCTGTGTGTTCGTCCCGCAGAGAGGACCAAACACGAATGATTACGCGAATCTCCTCGGATCCGTCAGGACGTCGCACGGAGGCCACGCGATTCGCCTGACGGTACATGGAAGTTATTACGCACTTGAGCGGCGCCAAGCCGGCTTCGGTTCTGAAGGACGCGTCTAATGGTAAGCCTCTTACGTGGAATAATTAAGCGTGGACCGTCCGAGCGAACAAGCTTCCCGAAGATCGAACGACCCGCTTATAGGCAGAACACCGACCCCCAACGTCGAGGCGCAACGTCCTCCCTCTTTCCGACGTAAGAGGATTCTCCGATTATCATCCACCGACCGAACCGTCCGTCGTGAAACCGTCACGTCGCCATTAAATATCGAGACGACCGTCGTTTGTTAATCCAGCGTCGCGGTGTTCACAATTTATCACGGGCGAGGGAATACCCAGCTTTAGCGGCATATTTTCTATCTGTACAGACAGTAGCCAGTATTCACGATCGATATTGATCAGAGCGCGAGGGGAATAGACTTTTGCGTTGAAAAACTTTTTAGTTGTAAGGTGAAGAGGACTGAAGACGATTTGAACTATAAATTTCTATTACATGTTTTATTTTCTATTATACCCCGAGGATCTAAGTAATATTGAATATCCAAAAATTTCCCAAAGAATACAATATTCTATCTACATTTCTCTATTAGTTTCAGTGCCGTTACCTCGTCCATTTGCAAATGGAACGACGTTGAAAGAAAAGCTCTTAAACCAAAACCGTGTCTGTCGCGACGAGCCGGGGTAAAACTGGTCGAAGCGTCCCGGGAAGCCTCGAATTTCCCCGGACGGAGAAATTAAAACGTCGAAGGGGGGAGGGTGGGGAGGGTGGGGGAGGGGGCAAGGATAGATGAGGACGATCGAACAAGAACGACGGTGGCGAAAAAGGAGGACAGCGTCGAAAGGAGGCGAAGCGTCGCGGCGGAGTCAACATTAATTTGCGATCCGCACGCATAAATCAGCGTTGGGGCGAGCGTTTACGAGCGTCGTCTCGAAGAAAGGTTGGGAGGGGTAAAAAAGGAAACACGGAAAAAAAAGAGTCGCCCGTGTGTTTACCTCATCAAATTCTCATCCGCCGGAATGTCGACGAAGAGGGTAGCGGGGCGGGGGTGGGACGGATCGACTACTCCCGTTGGCGCAGAAAATTGACAAACAGGCGAAAAAGCGAGTGGAGAAAATGAAAGGATGGAAGGCGCGAGAAGAGGAGCCCGCCAGAGGGACGCACGGATCGAGGGAAAACGGGGAAAATAGAGCAAGAATCCAGCGCGAGAGGGGGAGGGATAAACGAACAGATCGAGAACTCCAGCCGACCGGTCGAGGCGGAAGCAGTAAATTACAAAATTCATCCGTCGGTTCGACGCGGATGCCACGAATGCGAATTTAGGGGGGACATCGATCCGCGGGGATGGGCGCGTCGATGGATTTTCAAGATGCCAGGAAGGCCATTCGCTTGTTTTTTTTTCCATGGAGCAGAACGCGACGTGGACAGATTTTTTTTGTAAATGCCTTTGATAATTAACAGAGGCTGGAACTGATAAACTTTTGTAGATGAGTATTATTATATAGGAGCTTCAGTTTCATCGACATATGCAAGTTAAATCTCCTAGACTCGATGTGTCTGTTCAATCAAACCCTTATAATAATTACAGTCAGTTCAAGCATTAGAAATAATACTAAATAAATTTCAAATAAGGCTTGAATAATTTCCTAATAAAACCCTACTCGCTCACTAAAAAGTCACCGATCCCCAACTTTCTCCACAAATATTTGTCCTTCGTGCGCTTCAAGAAACTTTCCTGCCCCAGTCTTGAACAAATTCCTCGAATCGACCACCAAAAAGTACACCTAATTTTCGAAACGTCCAAGGCTCCCCCTTTCTCACGGTCGAGCCATTGAGGCGCGATCAACGGAAGACCGATCTCAATAAACAAAGGTTCCTTCCTCCGATCGGTGTCGCGTCGATAGGGGTGGAGGAAACTGGACGGCTCGCGTCCTCGGGGGGAATAAAGGGCGCGCACGTCGGAGATCGTCATACCGAGTGAAAAATAAAGGGACACGGAGACAAGAGTGTCCCTGCAAGATAAATGAACCAGCTGCCGTCACGGACGAAGGCTACGCGACCGGTGAATACATTTCCTGCGAACGTATACAGGTAAACACACGTGACTGCGCCGAAGAAATGCTCCCGAACGCGACGTTCCTCCTGGTGCATACCTAAGCACCGATCATCCTTTCGCGGCGTCCCATGCGCGACTTCCTCCTCCCTCCCCCTAGCCTTTTGTTGATTTATGCTCTCGCCGACGAGAACGAGAGCTGCCCGCTCGATATTCCCCCATTGTATCTTAAAAGAGTCTGCTAGGACTCCTGTTCGGGCATCTGGGTTGGTCGATGACTGTGATTTCAATGTACACGACTAATACGCTATTATTTATATTCTACATGCATTTTAACACTAAAACTACCTATACACAGCCTATATACACATATGACAAAGGAGGTGTGGCGATCGATACCATTCAAAAGAAATTGAAGCTATGCAGAAACGAAGACCCTGTCAATTTTACATATCTAAGAGTGAAAACACCCCTTTACAGATACTATAACGTACCCTTTGTTCAATTTCCTGTTGCATTAAACTTTCCTAATAAAACCTCGTTCAAACCTACCCAACATACCACCCCGATCGGGGTTAAAACAGATGTCCGAAATAAACCAGTCCGCCTCCGAGCTGTCTATCGAGCATTTCGTTTCCCCGTCACGGTCGACTGCGAACAACGAGGCCAAGAATGCATCTCGAATTCCCACTTTCCCTCGATTTCATACGGAAGCGAAGGGGTTGACTCGCGAGGGAGCATCGACACAAAAGTCAGCTCCCATCACAGAAAAAAAGAAGAGAAGCTACCGCTATCGAATTGCATCGCGTCCGTCCTCGTTAAACAACCCTTCGACTCCGTCGATCCCCTTATCCTTTCACGGGCGGCACTAATAATAACGAGCCACTATGATAATAAGAACGTCGTGCCCCCTCGGGAGCAGGAGTCCTCCGCGTAACGATCCCCGGTGTCTCCTTCGCCCTTCCCATCCACCTGCCAGACCTACGAGCCGCCTCTAGCGTCGAGCGTTCACGAAACGAAGTTAAACGACGGGGCCAAAACTCCTCGGTTGGAGTGTCGCGGGGAATCGGGAGACGAGAGGCAGAGTACGGGACAGGTATGCTTGAGGGATGGAAACGAGGAGGAGCCGCGAAGAAAAGAACGCGGCTTCCAGGGGGAAGAAGAGACGGGAGCGTGGCAGCCAAGGGGGTGCCCGTGTCTATCTTCATTAGAACCTTCGGTGCGTTCATCGTGACGCGGGGTACGAGGGACGGGAGGGAGACGGCAGGTTAAACCGCGTATATTGTATTCGAATTTCGTACTCCTATTCCGTTAACGCGGTGAATGCTCCGCGGTACCTACCTAAGCGAACTCGTACGTGCATGTATAATTCGGTGCGATTGTGCCAGGGCCGCATTGTGCGCCGCCCCGGCCCCCATTGTGCCCCGAGGAGCTGTCTGTCAAAACTCGCAGCGTCAACCGACGCCGCTACTATTAAAGACATTCATACCCCTCTCCCTTTTTGCCGCGCTCCGTTGGCCAGCGTTTGGATATTCCACGCTGGAGAATAGAATAAATTAACCGAGGGGGGGTGGCCGCGCTTCGATGGTGGACCGGGGGGAGGGTTGAGAGAGCGTTGTTTCGGACTGGTCGTTTCTGCAGAAGTGTAAACGTTCGTTACACGAATATCGGGAGCCGTTGGTTGTATTCTTCGAGAGGTGTCCGGCTTGGAAAGCTTCCAGGTCGCGTATGAGCGCTTCAGCGCTCGCGTCCAATCATTTCCTGTCCCGTTTATCGAGCTTTCGACGACGGACGGAAACAGTTTCCCCCTTAACATTCTTTTTTTTTTCAGATTGTTTGCACATATTCGAACGACTCGGGAGATTTTTGAACGTATGATCGGTAGTCCGGCCGGATTTTATGCATTTATAGGGCGCGTCGGTACGGAAAATGCGCGCGAAATGTGGGAGGAATTTATTTCGGGGATTGATACGACGATGTGTGATATTTTGTTTTTGGGTTCTCGTATTTATACATGATGTAAAATGGAATATGGTGAAGAACAATCAAGTGAAATTTTGTTGAAATCCACCGTTAAATAAATCCACGGAACAACTACCTTAAATAAATGTTGTTACTTATATTTTATTTTGTTCGATGTTAATAAATCCGCGGAGATCGATACAGATTTCCAACGATATTGTATCGCATAAATTTAATACAAAGAGAATTAGAACACTCTATTTATCATCTAACAGGGACCTGTGTTTGTCAGCACCTCAGTGATTTCCCTCAGAAAGAAACATTCTGGTCCAAACGAAAAGGCTTCTTTCAGAGCTGTGGGCCATTTTCGAAGAAAGTTGGAAAGTCGCGATCGTTCGTTAACGATTCGCCAATTCCTTTAAGTGGTCCTGCAGAATTATTGTTATTACCCGTCGTTAGCCGAGCGGAACCGTTAAAAAGGACACGTAACGCGGTCGGAGCGGAGTTTCTCCAGGGGAACGTGCCGCAGGTGTTATCGCGCAGTTCCTGTTAACGATCGTGTCCGGGCTATTTTATTATTCGTGAAATATA